CTATCTATTATTGTGCCAATACCTAGATGTTTTCATTGCAAGGATGGTAATGCTGCTGGAAGTTCCTTTATAGTACAGGATTGGTTTGACTATCCTGGGTATTTTGTTTGTCCATATGAAGTTCAGTATTGTTCTTTAAAGGGCTGTGAAGAATTGTGCTGGTATTTTGACGGGAATCGTGTTGAATCTGAAGATTACTTTTGGTACGATTGTTATTTTTGCTATGTTGATCCAACATATCCAAGAACATGGGAGATCTTTCCATTTGCTGGTATTTTCATGAATTTCTTTCTTCAAAAATATAAAATTCCTGTCATACAGGTCTTTCACTTGTTTGGATAGAGTTACCAAATTCTAACTCAAGATATTTTATTTTGTTCATGGCTATTGTAAAGGGTGATGTTTCTCTGATTTCTTTCTTAGCTGGTTTATCATATTGGAGGGCTTCTAATTTTTATTTAGTTAATTTTGTATCCTGCCACATTACTGAAGGTTTTTTTTATCAACTGTAGGAGTTCCCTGGTAGAATTCTTTGGATCACTTATGTATACTATCATATCCCCTGCAAATAATGAAAGTTTAACTTCTTCCTTTCCAACTTTTATCCCCTTGATCTTCTTTTGGTGTCTTATTATTCTAGATAGAACTTGGAGTACTATGTTAAACTATAATATCTATAATGGTTATAGGTCTATTTAAATATTCTTCTGGTCTTGATCTAATTTTGGGTCTCTATCATCTTCATAAAGTTACTTTTAAGGTTGTTTCCTTCTGCTTCATCTGTGTTGGGATGTTCAGGTCTTGCTATTGTAGAACCACTGGTTTCTGGTTATGTCATATTGCTCTTTATGTTGTTGAATGAATTCTTTTTTTAGGCAGAAGTAATTTATTCCACATCTGTACTTTGAATTTTTGACATTTTTCACTTTGACCATTTTCTTTCTCTTTTTTTAATAATTTAATTTTTACATTCCAATCCCAGTTCCCCATCCCTCCTCTCCTCCAGCTCCTCCATTTTCCCCTGCCACCTCCCATCTGCTCCTTGGAGAGGGTACAGCCTCCCCTACAAAGTCTACTAAATCTGTCCCATCATCTACTTGAGGCAGGACCATGGTACCTCCCAATCCCCCACACCCATGTGTCTAGGCTGAGCAAAGTATCTCACCATAGAGAATGGGCTCTACTAAATCAGTTTGTGCATTAGATTAGATCTTGGGCCCACTGCCAGTGCCATTGCCCCAGAAGTATAATTGTCACCTTAATAGGTTTTATGCAGGTTCCACATTTGTCAGACCAAAGTCAGTGATCTCTCCATAGCTCAGGTCAGTTGATTCTGTGGGTTTCCCCATTATGGTCTTGACTCCTAGATATCAAAATACCAAGTAATGCAATTTAAAAATGGGGTACAAATCTAAACAGAGAATTCTCAACAGAACTATCTCAAATGGTGGAAAGACACTTAGGGAAATGCTCAACATCCTTTGTCATCAGGGAAATGCAAATCAAAACAACTCTCAGATACCATCTTAAATGGATCAGAATGGCTAAGATCAAAAACACTAATGACAGCTTATGCTGGAGATTATGTGGAGAAAGGGGAACACTCCTCCATTGCTGGTGTGAGTGCAAACTTATATAGCCACTGTGGAAATCAGTATAGTGATTTCTCAAAAAATTAGGAATCAACCTACCTCAAGACCCTGCAATACCACTTTTTGTTGTGTACACAAAGGAGGCACATTCACACCAAAAGGACATTTGTTTAACTATATTCATAGCAACATTATTCATAATAACCAGAACTTGGAAAGAACCTAAATGTCCCTCAACTGAAGAATGGATAAAGAAAATGTGGTACATTTCCACAATGGTGTACTACTCAGTGTTAAGAAACACTGACATCCTAAAATTTGCAGGCAAATGGACAGAACTAGAAAAACCATCCTGAGTGTGGTAACCCAGACCCAGAAATAGAGTATATAATCACTTGTAAGTGGATACCAGACATAAAGCAAAAGATACCCAGACTACAGTCCACAACCCCAGAGAATTTAGAACCCTCTTTCAGAAACAGATGGAAGAAGATGCAGAAATATACAACTAACCAACGAGCTAAGTTCCTGGAGTACAATTGATGTTGAAGGTATCTTACACTGATGTCTATCCATCTCCAATTGTCTATTGGAGGATGTCTATCCATCCTCCAATTGGTGCAGGTGGGATCTGTGGCTTAAGTGCCTGCTCTTCCTCAAGGAGCACTTGGGCCTGTGGCTTGCTTAATTGATTCTCCAAGTATAGGTGGGACCAAGGCTCCAGTGGTTGATGATGTGGCAGTGGATGGTTGGGGGTGTGGAGAAGTTGCTGCCAGCTCTCTGGGACTTGGTTGGGTAGGAGTGGGGTTCTCAATGTGACCATGGGGGCTAGGACCTAAAGAGTAGGGCTGTCCAGCTGGGATCCCAGACACTTACCTCCTCCAGGTACAGTTCTGGTCACTTTCATAGATCTGGTGATACATCTTTACCATACCCAACCCCATTCTGAGTGAGACAACCCAGTCGCAAAAAGACCAACAGAGTATGTACTCACTCATATATGGATTTTAGATGTAGAACAAAGGATTACCATCCCACGATGCATACCACTAGAGAAGCTAGGAAACAAGGAGGACTCTAAGAGAGACATAGATGGCCCCCAGAGAAGAGGAAAGGGACATAATTTCCTGAGAAAATTGTGAGCATGACGGAAAGGGAGAGGGAGCTATGAGAATGAGAAGGTGAGAAGAGGAGAGATGAGGAGGACATGAGGGGGCAGGAAGTCTAAGTTGGGAGAAGAATACAGGGGAACAAGATAAGAGATAACATAATACAGGTATTCATTATAGGTTTAAAAAGAAATCAGGTGCTAGGGAAATGTCTGTGCATCTACAACAATGACACCAACTCTCTATGCATCAGAGGGGAGGCTACCTTAAATACCCCCCTCCCCCATGATAATGAGATTGATGGCTAATTTATATACCATCCTATAGCCTTCACCCAGCAGTTGGTGGAAGTAGAAGAAGACACCCACAGCTAAACACTGAACTGAACTGGAATGAGGAGTGACTAGCAAAGGGGTCCAGACCTGGCTGGTGAAACCCACAAGAAACAGCTGACCTGAACAAGAGGAAACTCTTTGCTCCCAGACTGATAGCTAGGAAAGCAGCATGGGACTGATCCAGACCCCCTAAATGTGGGTGTCAGTGAGGAGACCTTGGAAATCTATGGGGCCTTTTGTACTTATCCCTAGCATAGAAATAGACTTTGGGAGCCCATTCCACATAGAGGGATACTCCCTGAGCCTAGACACAAGGGGGTGGCCTAGCTCCTATCCCAAATGATATGACAGACTCTGAAGACCCTCTATGGAAGCCCTCACCCTCCCTGGGGAGCAGAAAGAATATGGGATAGGTAGGGTGTTAGTTGGGTGGGGGCAGGGGAGGAGGGGAGGCAGAGGGAACTGGGATTGAATTGTAAAATAATCTTGTTTCTAAATTAAATTTAAAAAATGGAGAGAGAAAAAAAAAGAACCCTTGCTTCAGGCCAAGAAAGTGGTTAGCAAGGAAGAGGTGGCCTTGGAGACAAAGGCGAGGATATTACTTAATCTGAGGTATTGGCAGAATGGGTCCTCATGTGTCGTGAGGACAGCAAGTCATATGCTGGTGTTGGAGTGTTGAGTTCAGCAGCTCAGAGGAACTTTCCAGGTTTTACACCTGCCAACTTAACTGCTGTGTGGGGTTGTATTTCATCTTTTACATGGAGGGGCTGTCCAGAATCTCCTAGCACTCCTCCTTCCTCCTCCCAAGTGTAGAGTTTACAGGAATATACCACCACTGCACCCAGATACATTTGATTCTTTGACACTTGGTCTTAATTTATGTTGCCAATGCTAGCCTTGAATCTTCTGTGAACTGCTTGGTATTGTCCCCTTATTGTGGGATTTCAGTTGGTGAGGGGTTCTCTTTTGCTTTCCTTCCTTTCCTTTCTTTTCCTTTTCTTTCTTCCTTTTTTGTTTCTGTTTTTATTGAAACAGGGTTTCTCTGTGTAACTAACTTCTGTGTTTCTAAAGGGAACTCTATCACAAGTATGCCCATGAGTAAAAAATGTATGACCAGCATTACATGTTTTCTCTAACTGCTTTATGAACTTTGTGATAGACATTTTCCTATGTCAGTTGTCTAGTTTGTTGTGTTTCTTTTTTTAAAGAAAACATCTGGAAAGCTGAATTCCAGAAGGTGTGAAAGTGTCTCTGAGTTGTCACATCACAAGTATAGGCTCTGTCTCCCATCTACTCCCAGTTTTCCAACCTTGGGAGTTAAGTACTATGGTGTATAGGTAATAGATTTCTTAATTTTGCACATGTTTTTAATCAGTCGATATACATTGATATTATCTCTTTATGCTTGTCAATGAGTGATACATAAAGGTATTTGAGCTGTGGTATTTTGTCATGCAGCTCTTTTGCCTTGACAACTAAGACCAATCTCACCATGGTAACAGTGAGATACATTTGGCAGAGTTGACTTCTGTTAATGAAAGTGAATTTTAGTTTGGTGTCTTGAACAGTCAGCTTTAAAGATATGATTAACCTTAATATCATTTTAAGTTTATTTTGAAGTTATACACTCATAAATAGTACTCTTTGGGGATTTTGCAAACTGACAATATTATAAATCTCTCTGAGCTTGTGGATCATAGAAATTGATTATTATTTTTGTTTTGTTATTCATAACATCAAAAGGGGAATACAGTGTTTTAACTGTCTACATGGATGTAATTCCAGGTATAATTTGGTAAATGGGTCATGTGGGGACCCTCCTTTTTCACAGTGACATGTCAATATGCCCTTATCTCTAATGACATTGATATGATCAAGTAAAGTTCCAGCCTCATTTTCCAACTACATTCCAAACGAATAAGAAAAATCTCAAATATGATGCATTTTTGATGATTATTTTCCAGGTGCCCATGAGAAAGAAATAGTCCTAATGAATGCTTTGACTGTTAATTTACATCTTCTACTGGTAAGGTTTCTTTTCCATCTGTGTTTTGAGTTCTCTCATTTGCATAATCTGATATGTTTCTAAGAATCTTAAATTCAAAGGTTCTGACAGGCTATTTATTAACATGTGAGATTATTTATATTTTCACCAAGAAATTCTAGAC